CTGTAAACCGCTTAGAGAGGGCTGAAAGCCCTATGAAGCGGTATATAAGTCTAACTGCTATTGCTATTGCTATAAGAAGAGGCAGCAGATCTGTGCAGATCTGCCCTGGAGGTGTGAGTCTGTCTTTTCACTCATTATGACAATTTTGCAGCCACTCAGTTTTAATGGGCTTTTATTGGGTCTGTGTTGTTTTCTTCATAATTCCCCAAGCACCATTAGATAGGAAGTACAGTATAAATAAAACATAACTGATGTTTTAAAAAAATGTATCCATCTAAAACATGCAGGATCTCATTGAGTGCACCGAAGAGTATTATATTCTATATACTATATTCAAGAGAATGTTTTAAAGTTTCAATAATAAATAAATTTAATAAATAAATTTAATAAATCAATGTGATATAGCAATAGCAATAGAACTTAGACTTATATACTGCTTCGTAGTGCTTTACAGCCCTCTTTAAGCAGTTTACAGAGTCAGCATATCGCCCCCAACAATCTGGAACGCTCATTTTACAGGCCTTGGAAGGATGAAAGGCTGAGTCAACCCTGAGCCAGTGAGACTTGAACTACTGAAGGCAGTCAGAAAAATTAGCCTGTAGTACTGCATTCTAACCACTGCACCACCACGGCTCATATACCCCACAGTATAGTCATTGAAGATGTCCAACTAGTACCAGGGAAACCCAGGTTTCAGCCCCTCCCCCTTCAGCCCTGGAAGTTTATTGGGAAAATTTGGACCAGTCATTCCCAGCCCAGCCTATCTCCTGTTCCTTTTGCTGAGGGAGAAAATGGAAGGAGGAACATTGCATACAGCTCCCTTCAGTCAGCGTAGTCTTGCATCTTTTCCTTTTGGTCCTAACCCCTTTCTTCTTGTTGTCTCTTCCAGCACATCTGTATTCTTTCAGTTACAAAGCAAAACATTTCAAAATAATAAATATGTGCACTTTTTAAAACAAGTCTGCATTTTTGCTCATTTTTATCTGTTTATGTGCACATATACAAAAGGCAAGATTGAGATTAGGAAAAGGAATTTTCTGGAATTCATTCTCTTAAATATTTCTGCCTGGGAGAAGTTATGAGTTGAAGTCGCAAGCGGTGCCAGAGTAGCCTTATAGTCCTCATGTGGAAATCAGGCCAGGAGACATTTCTGTGGGTCAGAGGTTACACACTGACAATTTTCCCAGAACAGAAATGAGTAGCAGTTTTTACTGTTTGCTAAAAGTGCAAAGAATTATTAGAGGTGACCCTCTATAACCCAGTACATTTTCACCATAGTAAGTGTTGACCTGCAATATTTTAAAAAAACCAGAATAAAACAAGAAGCCAATGATGAGGCAGACTTATATACCTTCTTTCAAAAGGGATAACATGAACCTAAATATAATATGTAGAGTTGTAGTGGGTGGATCCATAGCTTTGAGGTTGTGGGCATGTTTGATATGTGAAACCATTGTCAGCCAGGATTTATAATGATTACATGGAGCAATAGACTTTTCAAAGAAAGAATAGCTTACAACCACCATCTCTGCTGCAGGCTGTTGAGTTTTCTACATCTAGCATTGATCACACATGCTTTACAAACTTTGAATTGGTCAACTGCCTTATATAATCAACAAACAACCCTACCGATTATTTACAAATTTGAGAATCCCTATTATATCTGTGCTGGAATGGAAGCTCATCACTACTATTGCCACTGTGGTCCTTCATTTTTCACTGGAAAAGATGGAAACTGCGTCAATTGTAGAACATTGGAGACCTAGACCTGAAGATGGGACTATTTCAGAAATCTCACCATCTGCTAGTGTGAATCTAAATCCTTTACTGTGAAAATTTATTTCCAACTTTTAGAAATTTCCAACTGAAAGGTGCCTAATGTCATTTAATCTCTAAAGCTAAATGGATCTACAGCTTGTTAAGTTTTTGAAGAGAAATATTTTTGGCAATTCCAAACATACTTTTCAGATTCATACTCTTCGTGACACTGAACAGTCTAACGTTTGCAGGACATCAATCAAACGTTCTCAGCCAACCTTATGGCATCGTGAGCATACAAAAATACATATACATTCACATTATTGATACTGCCACAAGAATTCCTTATCTGATAGGGGTCCTTGGACAAAGACCCCTTAGTACATACCTCAAGCTGACAGTAACATGAAATAGGAGAGTCATGTTGGCATAGATATTGCCCAGATTAACAAAATCTATGTCAGATTTTGAGGAACCAGGACAATTTGATAATAACCGGGCTCCTGAAACAAACCATGCCTGGTTGAGGCAGGAGAATCAATGGAATTAATGGAATGCTAGTACAAAGCAGACCTAATGAGAGGGGATATATGAAATGTATATGAGAACTATGGAATGTCATTATGAGCCTCTCTATTACAGAGCAGAGCTGCTGATATGAGGCATAGGGTCATGGACCCCAGCCATCCCATTATGTTATTTAATAGGGTATTTTCTCCTAGACTGCATTATTTTAGTATGATGTTGTCCAAAGCACCTATTACTTTTGGTACTATCCTTACTTTCTTTTTCCACAGTCATTCTGTTTCTGTTTTCAGGTCTTAGTATTTTGTGGTTTTTCTCTAATTTTTTTTGTTTTCTATTCTTCTGTCTCCAGGCATTGCAACATCTACTATCTAGATTTTTTTGTCTTTCTTATCAATACTACACCTGGGGTGTTGCTACATCTGAGGTGTTATGTGGCAGATACTCCTCTGTTTGAATGCTAAACACCCAGAGCTCTTTTGCTTCTTCATTTTCTATTACTTTATCTGCTTTGTGGTCTCACAAATTCTATTATTCCTTACTTTCCGGCATTTATTTATCAGCTTCACTCCAGGAGATCAAACTCTCTTCATTTAGATCTATTACAGCTTTATTTTTTCTTAGTTTAACAGAAAANAGATTTGAACAGCCGAACTGCAGAACTGCAGTCAGCTGAAGTAGCCTGCAGTGCTGCATTTAACCACTGCGCCACCTCGGCTCTTATTATTATTAAAAGCATGGAAAATGGTGGTTAGCAATTAAACTGGAGTTGTTGGAAATCAGATTCGTAGTGACAGGAATAACTATATTTTCAATTTCCCATGCTTCTGAGCAGAGACCATAGATAAATGTGGAAATGTAATCACAACATTCTTTTATAATCACAATCTCTAATGGACAATTCTTGATGGGAATTTCTGTGTGTGCATATGTGTGTATTCCTAGATGGTTCTTGATGACTCCAGTTTCTACAAGGCTGAAATGGCCAACTTCTCTTTGGGAGAGAAACTGCCAGTGCTGAGAGAAATTGGCAAGCTGCATCACTCTTTGTTCTTTGCCACAGGAAATGAGGTGAGGCATGTTGAGTTCTCAACGGAGGCTGAGTCTTTTGTTCTGAGACATACCATGTAAGATTATTGATCCTTTTATTTCTGGGAGGAGGAGGATTTTTCAGAAGATGCATTGATTTTACATTGCAAGCAAACCTCAAAGGCTGTTGGTGTCTAGATTCAGTGCCTAATATGTAAGTTCAGCAAAACGTATTGACGGAAGATTTTCTGTATTAGTTCAGAATGCTTCCTGAATCTACTCTAAACTTTTCTCGTTGCTGTTGTTGTTGCTCTGCTTAATGTGAGCTTTTCTGAAAAAGAAGGACCTTGTTTGTTACATTAAGGTAGAAAGTGTCTCCCACCTCAGGATCATAGTGATTGAATTTGCACATACTAAACTGGGATGAAGTTCATCTAGTTAAAGAAAGGATGGAACATCCCAGAGAATTCCAGAATGTTCCATTTTCCATCAAGTCCAAACTAGCCGTTCTAGAAGTAGATTGGAAGTTTCTGGAAATAAATCTTCTGAACTGGGAGTGGCACAAAATGATGACGTGTTGCTCTAGTCCCAAAACAGATCAGTTTAATACAGAGCACCATTTCCATTATAGATCTACTGCCAATTAATTTTTGAGCCATGTTCTGGGTAGAATTATAGCGAATGCATGACCAATTTTCCTGAAGCCTGGTCTATCTTGAGCCAGTGTCTCTGCTGTTTTGATTCAAGCTATAGGCAGAGAGTATGCCAGATATATTTGAGGCATGCCTTTGTAGAAGTAAATTGTACTTACATTTTAAATATTTTTTTCTGCTATAAAACATTCTAAGATAATGGCTGATGGAAGATATAAAAACATTTTCATAGATTGGGGCATTAGCCCCAGATAGGGCTGTGGGAAAGATATTAATCCTTTTGTCGCTTATCTTTTTTGGTTAATTTTGCAGATATTCCGGGTAAACCAAACTGGTCCAGGCTGCCTCCACTTTGTAACGTGCCTCAGCTGCCTGAAAGCAGAGCGTTTCATGCAATGTGGCTGGTGTGGAGATTCATGTACTCGTCAGGGGGAATGCAAGAAACAGTGGAACCAAGAGAGTTGCGCTCCAGTCATCACTGATGTATGCAAATTTCTCACTATATGATATTGGCCAATAGTATGCCAATAGAGTGACTAGTACCCATTACAGCCATGCTTAATGAAGCCATTTGGTATTGGGTATTTATTTCAATTTACTTCCCTTGTTAAATGTCTGTTTCAATATTTTTGTTAAATGGTCTTTTTAAAGTCATAGAACACATCCCGAGAGCTGTAATGGCTGTGTTTTTGGGATAAATGCTTTCCTTTTGAACTTCATGGCTAAAATATTGGATTATTTACTTTCCTTTTCTTCTTCTTTCTCCTTGGGATTCACATCATAAAGAACCTTTATCTTCCTTCTGTATTTCATCCACTTTAGCTTCTGCTAAACATTGTAGGGAACATTGTAGATCTTCCGTAACTTTGTCAAAGGAGAGAATTTATTTTTCTAAATATAAGGTACAAAATAAATAATGTGTCAGATGTAAGTGACCAAATCCACATGTGTAGAGTTCAAGGTAACTCCTTTATTATGTTCTGCCTGTAATATAGGAGTTAGCTTGAAATCTATGTGGGTGGATATGGTCACTTTAGTCTAGGGTGACATTCGTCTCCCTACAATCTAGACTGTTTACCTTCCATTAGGAACAGATAGATAAGGTTCCATGGAATTTGGAGGGGTGAGTAGTCAGTCCTGGATCTCTTGCAGCTGTGCAATGACTCAAGATTAATTCCCTGCTTGATCCTTCCTTCTTGTTTGGCTGGGCATTTCCCAACAGAAAGATATGAAATCCAATGTAATGGACTGTATATTAATATAAGGTATACAAATTCATAAGCTTAGTACAAATTAAGATGTTCTTAAGCTCATGAACATACAACAAAACCAACCAAGTTCTGCACAATTTTGACCAGCCTCTGGAATGTTCATACTGTGTTTCCCCCAAAATAAGACAGGGTCTTATTTTCTTGTGACCCCTGAAATAAGCACTTGGCCTTATTTTTGG